TACCTATCATAAGCAGTATTTGTTCTGTAGGTAAGTAAGAGACCCACGACAAAACCAAGCACTGGAATGAATGTTTGTGGAATGGCAGGTTTGATATTCGTTTTCATATATACCGCTGTCACGACGGCTGAGAAAGCAGTAACAAATAAGGTCTGATATATAACATTTGGGATAACAGAGCCTCTTAATCTAAATAAGTGCGGTATATATGTATCGCTATAATCAATTTCATCTTCGTCACAATGGCCATCCGCCTCCGAAGACATGTAACTAGATAACCTTTTATTAGGTACCTTTCTCTTTTCAATCGATGCCATCCGTTATTATTATTTTTAAGGAAATTTTAAATAAATGCAAAGGAATGAAATTTTCAGAATATAGGTACGTACGGTTCAAGATATATAAAAACCATAATCTCTTTACAAGTATAAAAATTGCTATTGAAACTAAATACCGCATTAAATTATTAGTATCAATAAGGTATGTACGTAGTACGTACGGTGATTATAAACAAAATAGCATATTAATATTAAAATATTTCCAAATTATTAGCGTAACGATAATTAAAGCGTGTACATAAAGAAGTTGATAAATGTGCTACGTACGTACTTAATTATGCATACGTTAATATTATCATTACTAACATTGAAATAAACAATAAAGCACGTACGTACATACTTTATTGGATGTTAATAATTTAGGAAATACAGTGCTTTCAATATGCTACTTGTTTTTGCGGTTTTTAGATTTCTTGCACCGTACATACGTTTATTATTTGCCAACCTTTATTCTGAATCTTGAAAAACCATCGCGGTTAACTTAAAAGAAGAAATATAACATAGTATATCGGTATAAAGAAGAGCAATATTTAGAAATCCTTTTAAATGCTGTTGCTAATCTCTATATAACCTCATTTGTGGTAACAAGAAAAAGCTTTAAATTTTAATTTATATTAAAATGAAATGTTTTCTAATGTTTTTTTTTAGAACTACAGTTAGACCTCCTTCTCTATAGTTATATTTGCTTATAATCACATAAATTTTTAAAACCAACTTATATAATACATACTACGTATATATATATATATAGCATTTAATCTCATATTAGGATATTAGGGATGTTATCTACTTAAATCTGCTAGTTTGTCTTTTGAAACCCGTTCGAACACTGTTTGGGAACACAACGTAAACTGTGTTTCAAAATCTGCTTTACATATACTATTATGATTATGCACGCCTGAACATGTTAGTTTAAAACCTGCTGTATATTTATTTATCATATAATATATAATATATTATGTGTTCATTTCGCGTGATATTTATTATATTAATATTTGCATATGACCAGGTAAAAAAAAAATTAAAAAAAAAAAAAATATTTGCATATTAAATATGCATTGCAGTGATTTACCGTATTTCTGCGACATGTGTACCCCCCTGTGGGCTGTACCCTGCGGCGATTTTGGATGCCAAATCTTGATTTA